AAAAAAAAAAAAAAAAAAAAAAAAAAAAAAAAAAAAAAAAAAAAAAAAAAAAAAAAAAAAAAAAAAAACTAGGAATTTTAATTTCATGAAATTCAGAAACTTTAGTTGATAAAATTTAAATGCAAACTCCTAGGTCATCTTTGTCATAGCTTTATGTAAATACACTTCCTTCTTTTAATAAACATATACTTGGAACAGCCAGCTTTCTCTCCACTAATTTAAAAATAATGCCAATATCATCTACTAAATTCTTCAAAACGAGCTCTTGCTCTGTTGCCTAGGCTAGTGTGCAGTCCTGCGATCACTGCTTGCTGCTGCCTTGAGCTCCCGGGGTCAAGCAATCCTCTAGCCTCAGCTTCTTGAGTAGCTGAGACTATAGGTACACACCACCATCTCCAGCTAAATTTTTTACTTTTTTAGAGACAGGGTCTTGCTATGTTGCCCAAGTTAGTCTCAAACTCCTGGCTTCAAGTGATCCTCCTATCTTGACCTTGCAAAATGTTGGGGTTATAGGCATGAGTCACTGTACCCAGGATAAATTCTTATTTATACTTGGATCTTTTCAGACTGCCTATTGCCTTCTATTCATCTCTTATTTTATTTACTGCATTACTACATTTTATTATCAAGTCAGTAAGCCCATTACTTTTATTTTTCAAATATGTCCATCTACCTTCCATGTTTGTTTTAAAAATAATCTATTTTACTAAGTTCTCTTACTATTCCATTTGCATTGATTTTAATTAATTTGCAATAAATTTGTTAACTATAAGAAGTGTTCTCAATATTGAATCTTTTTTTTTTTTTTCTCTTTTTTTGGAGATAGGGTCTTGGTTCTGTGGCCCAGGCTGGAGTGAGGTGGTACATAAATATAATACTGCAGCCTCAGACTCCTGGCTCAAGTGATCCTCCTGCCTCAGCTTCTTGAGTAGCTAGGACCACAGGTTTGCACCATCATACTCTGCTTAGTTTTTAAATTTCTGGGTAGAGATGAAGTCTCACTATGTTGCCTAGGCTGGTCTCAAACTCCTGGGGCTCAAGTGATCATCCTGGCTCAGCCTCCCTAAGTGCTGGTACTCTTCTTGTTCTTTTATCTAGGAATAAGGTATGTTTCTTCCATTATATGTGACTTTTATGTCCCTCTATTACATTATTCATCATAGAAGATGGTCATATTTCTTAGTATGACCAATTTATTCCTTATAGATTTCATGTATAATTTCTATCTTGTATTATTGTAATCATCTTTTATCCCTACTACATACTCAATGGATCAATGGATTAGACTTTAGGACTACTTTTTTTTTTTTTTTTTTTAGAAAGGAATCTTGCTCTGTTGCCCAGATTAGAGTGCAGTGGTGCCATCTCGGCTCACTGCAACCTTGGCCTCCCAGGTTCAAGCAATTCTCCTGCGTCAGCCTCCCAAGTAGCTGGAATTACAGGCACTTGCCACCATGCCTGGCTAATTTTTGTATTTTTAATAGATACAAGGTTTCACTGTGCTGGCCCAGGATGGTCTTGAACTCCTGACCTTGTGATCCACCAGTGTTTTTTTTTGAGACAGAGTTTCACTCTGTCGCCCAGGCTGGAGAGCAGCAGCACAATCTCAGCTCACTGCAACCTCTGCTTCCTGGGTTCAAGAGATTCTCTCACCTCAGCCTCCAGAGTAGCTGGGATTACAGGTACATGACACCATGCCTGGCTAATTTTTGTATTTTTACTACAGATGGGGTCTCACCATGTTGGTTGGCCAGGCTGTTCTCCAACTCCTGACCTCAGGTGATCCACCTGCCTTGGCCTCTCAAAGTGCTGGGATTACAGGCATGAGCCTGTCCAGGACTACTGACTTTTGTATATTTAATTTACATTTTGCCTCTGCCTAATTTAAGTTCCTTATTAGTTCTCATTTTTCATAAATAATATTAATTTCCATATTTATGCTTCTTCCTTCTTTTTCATGTGTTCCTGATTTAACTAAAAATTACAAAATAAGCTGGGCACCGTGGCTCATGCCCACAATCCCAGCACTTCGGGAGGCTAGGGGGCGGGGCAGGGGGCAGCACAGGGGGTGGACTGCTTGAGCCCAGGAGTTCCAGACTAGCCTCGGCAACATGGTGAAACCCTGTCCCTACAGAACTACAAAAGCTACCTGGTGGTGCTTGCTTGTGATCTAAGTTAACTGGGAGGATGGCTTGAGCCCAGGAGGTGGAGGCTGCAATAAGCCATGATCACACCACTGCATTCCAGTCTGGGAGAGAGAGCAAGATCCCATCTCAAAAACAAACAATCTTTAGAATGTCTAAAAATTAAGCAAATAGGCTGGCTGTGGTGGCTCACACCTGTAATCCCAGTACTTTGGGAGGCCAAGGCGGGTGGATCACTTGAGGTCAGGAGTTTGAGACTAGCCTGGCCAACATGGTGAAACCCCATCTCTACCAAAAGTACAAAAAATTAGCTGGGCGTGGTGGCACACACCTGTAATTCCAGCTACTCAGGAGGCTGAGGCAGGAGAATTCACTTGCACCTGGGTGGTGGAGGCTGCAGTGAGCTGAGATTGTGCCACTGCACTCCAGCCTAGGTGACAGAGCAAGATTCCATCTTAAAAAAAAGAAAGAAAAAAATTAAGCTAATCAATATGAGCAACCGTATGAACTATTTCAAAGCATCTTAAGTGAAATACATATGATTATGTTTAACATTGAATTTTTACTCTTAATAGCTTTTTAAAATATTATCTTGTGACTACAGATCTTTCTGAAATGACTTAACATTGCTTTACTTAAAACAAAAAACCATTCATATAAAGCAATGAGCCAAAAACATTCACATTAGCAGTAGATAAAAATAGATAAGGAAAAGCCAAGCATGGTGGCGCAAGGCTGTAGCCCAAGCTACTAGAGAAGCTAAGGCAGGAGGCCTGTTTGAGGCCAGATGTCCAAGGCTGCAGTGCGCTATGATCACACTTGTGAATAGCCACTGAATTTCAGTCTGGGCAGCATAGTGAGATCCCATCTCAAAAAAAAAAAAAGAAGAAGAAGAAGAAGGGAAGGGCTGGGCACAATGGCTCACACCTGTAATCCCAGCACTTTGGGGAGGCCAAGGCAGATGGATCTCATAAGCCTAGGAGTTCGAGACAAGCCTGGGCAATATAGTGAGACCTCATCTCTAATAAATAAGTAAATAAAAGAAAGAAAGATTAAGAAAAAAGAAAGAAAAAGAATAAAAGGTATGGAATCTTGTAACCATTTAAAATTATGAGACTGGCCGGTTGTAAAACAGAATTTTAAGAAATGAAACAATCCTTTAAGAAGATTATTAAAGTACAAATCCTCAGGCTCCTGGGATTTTGATGTGTAAGTCTCAGGATTTAAATTTTTAAGAAGCACCCCAGATGATTCAGTTGTACATGGCCTACATTGAGAACCACTACTCTCCATCCTGTGAGGATGTCAGGGGAAATGAAACAGCACAGTACACAGTTTTTTCAGATGGTATTTCCAATTCATCTTGGATAGCTCAACTTTAATGGTGAATCTGAGCCTAATTTGATACACTTAAGTGTGACATACAAGTTATATAATTGCTTTGCAAAAAAAAGTCCAACTTAGAGAATGCTCAGCATTTCAGTTTTATGATCTAAGAATTCTAATAAGGCTAAATAGTGCCAATCATTCAATAGTATATTCATTGCAATACAGCAATTGGGAGAAAAATAAGAACCAAATGGAAATTATACACGTGATTTACAAGCTGCAAAAACTCTGACATTTAGAAAAAGATAAAAACCACTATAGAAGTTTAGAATTAAAATATTTTAGGGATGAGACAGCTTACCTTGAGATAACTGTGTTTTTAGGGATCTTGTATCCTGTGTAAAGGCAGAACCAACCGCACTACTTTGGGGTAAGGTACCACTGTTTGATGTTTCTGTTCCAAAGGATGTCAAAGAGCTTCCAGCTTAAAGAGATTTTTTTAAATGATAAAAAATTTAAAAAAATGTTTTACATTTTTCAATGATACAAAGTAACATAGCATTTTAATGATGGTAATTGTCTACATCTCCCCCAACACATGTACAAATTAATAACCTTGGAAATTAAAGTGTATTGAATAATAGTTTGGGAATTCTATGGCAATATGGGGGGTGGGGAGCCAATATACTGTCCACTATCCTTGGATGCAAACCATGTTTATAACACATGAAGTACTGTCCCTAAGCAGTTATGCAGATGGGACAGCAAGGACCCATATCAGCTAAAGTAGCAGAAATAGTGCATTCTACACCAACATTAAGGTTCAATGATTCTAATACTAAGTATCTGCAAAACTGCCAAATCAGCAGACAGGTTTACGAGGAGCTTTTTCAGCAGTTCCAAGGCAACAGACAATGGTCTCTGGTTCCAACGCTTCCCCTTAAGATGGGACTGCGAGGCTGCATTCTGCCTAAAGCATCTGCAATAAGTTCTGGCAATATGAGTAACAAAGTCCCTACAAAGGGCCCAATTCTCTGCCATACTGGGTTGTATCAAATTTCTTCTCTAAGTTTCTACAGTGCTTATGCATCATTCACTTTTGATATACTGTGCTTTCTCTCCGTAGTATTTCATGAATGCAGGTTTTTACTGTATTTCAACAGCACCTCTCTCTTCCATAACCTCTAAATCCAACCTAAAGATGGTAGAGTGATTTTTTACAAAATACAAATGTACTCACACTACTACAATGATTTAGACCTTCTGATGGCTCCCACTGTCCTCAGGATAAAAGTTCAAACTATTTACTTCAGTTAATAAAACCTACCTCTTCTCCCATCATTTTCTGTATTTTCACCAGCCTAGCCCACAGCAGTTTACCCTGCTGCTCTTACAACACATGAAGATTACAATCATGCCCCTTGCAATCTGCTCATTTCCAGGCTAGTCAACTCCAGTTCCTTCAAACATTACTCACCTTACATGGTCTTTATGACACTACCCCCCAACTTCCTTTCTTGGACTCTGAATTTAATGAATTCTATTTGTTCTTATCCCTCTTAAAATGTGGCTTCAGAAAACAGCACAGTATCTCAGACAATGGGAGCCACTGAGACTACCTTGAGGGTGCAATCCAGTGTGGCTGCAGCTCCAGTAGCTAACACAAGTTCCCACAACATCCCGGAAATGCAGGAGCTGGTGCTTTCAAGAATTCTGGGGAAGTTGAACCCATCCAATTATTTCTAGTATTCCTGGGCAATGACCAAGACATCAGTCACATGTTGTATATTTGTATCTCTGTGCTGCTCTGTGCTTCCTCACCTGGCTTGGCCTCCCATTGCTTGTCCTCTGGATTACACATTCGATGATTAAAGCAAACCTCTTCTGTGATTTCCTGATCACGCCATACACCCCTCCTTCTATCCCAATTCTACTACCAATTTACGTCAACAATCGATTCCAAATTATTTTAAATTTATAGTTTAAGACAGGGGTCAAGGTTTATTTTTTCCACGGATAACCAGCTGCTGCAACACCCCTTGTTAAAACAATGTCTTCTCTCACAACTGAACAGTGTTGGTACTCCGTTGTATTTGAGTGGGTCTATTTCTGGATTCTCTATTCTTTATTCCTTGTCTGTTAATGTGGTGAGTTACAACTGATTTTCAAATGTTGCAGCTTGCAGTCCTGAGATAAATCTTTGTCATTATGTACAATCCTTCTTCTGAATTGCTGGCTTCTGCTTCTAATAGTTAAACATTATTACATTTATGTACATGAGAGACAGTGATCTATAATTTTCTTGTAGCAATCTAGTCATAGTTGGTATTTTAGTTATTTTGCCTTGCTTATCGGGTCAGTAAATACTTCCTCTTTCTCTGCTCTCTAAGTTTTCTTTTTAAGAGACAGGGTTTTGCTCTGTTGCCCAGGCTGGAGTACAGTGGCACCACCATGGCTCACTGCAGCCTTGAACTCCTGGGTTTAAGAAATCCTCCTGCCTCAGCCTTCTGAGCAACTGGGACTACAGGCATGCATCATGGTGCATAGCTATCTGAAAGAGTTTGTGTAAGATTAGTAAAAATTATTTCTTCCCTAAATGTTTGGTAGAATATAACAGTAAACAGTCTAGAATTTTCTTTGTGGGTGATTTTAAATTACTGTTTCAATTTCATTAGCAGATACAGAGATACTGAAATTTTATTTCCTCTTGTGTTGGTTTACTATTTGTCCACTTAATCCAAACTATCATTCACATTTACTGACATAAAGCAGTTCATATATTCCCATATTATTCTTTTAAGATCTATATGGATGTCTACTCTTTCATTCCTGATATTGGCAACTTGCTTGGTTCTTCTTTCTTTCCTTAATCAGTTTTGTTAGTGGCTTATCAATCTTTTATATATATATATATCCCATCAAAAACAGACTCTCAGCTTTGCTGATGTATAATCTATTTCTATTTCACTGATTTCTGCTCATCTTTTTTTCTTCTTCCCCATGTATTACTTTTGGAACAATTTTTTTTTTTTCATTTTTTTTCCTAGCTGTCCCCCCACATCCCTGCCAACTTTTTCAGAGATATGGTCTAACTCTGTCACCTAGGCTGGAATGCAGTGGCATGATCACAGTTTACTGCAGCACTGAACTTCTGGGCTCAAGTAATCCTCCCACCTCAGCCTCCCAAGTAGTTAGGACTACAGGCACTCACCACCATGCCCAGCTAACCATTTTTCCTAAACCTTTTTTTTTTGAGACAGGATCTCATTCTGTTGCCTAGGCTGGAGTTCAATGGCTTGATCTCGGCTCACTGCAACCTCCACTTCCCAGGTTCAAGTGTTTCTCCCACCTCAGCCTCCTGAGTAGTTGGGATTACAAGCACCCACCATCATACCTGGCTAATTTTTGTAGAGATGGGGATTCACCATGTTGGCCAGGCTGATCTTGAACTGCTGACCTTAGATAATCTGCTATCTTAAGCCTCCCAAAGTGCTGGGATTACAGGCATGAGACACCATGCCTGGCCCTTTCCCAGCTTTTTTTTTTTTTTTGAGATGGAGTCTCACTCTGACGCTCGGGCTGGAGTGCAATGGCGCAATCTCGGCTCAATGTTACCTCCACTTCCTGGGTTCAAGTGATTCTCCTGCCTCAGCCTCCTGAGTAGCTGGGATTATACGCACCCACCACCACACCAGCTAATTAAAAAAAAATTTTTTTTTAATTTTCAGTAGAGACAGGGTTTCACCAAGTTGGTTGGGCTGGTCTTCAACTCCTGATCTCGTGATCCGCCTGTCTCAGCCTCCCAAAGTGCTAGGATTACAGTGTGAGCCACCGGGCCTGGCTTCCTAGCTTCTTAAACTAGTACCTTAGAGCACTGATTTTAAAAATTCTTATTTTCTTTTTCTTTGAGACAGAGTGTCTCTCACTCTGTTACTCAGGTTGGACTGCAGTGGTGCCATCTTGGCTCACTGCAACCTCTACATACCCAGCTCACGTAATTCTCCTGCCTTAGCCTGCCGAATAGCTGGGACTATGGGCGCATGCCAATGTGCCTTACTAATTTTTGTATATTTAGTAGAGACAGGTTTTCACTACATTGGCCAGGCTGGTCTCGAACTCCGGACCTCAAGTGATCCACCTACCTCGGCCTCCCAAAGTGCTGGGGTCATGGGTGTGAGCCACTGCACCTGGCCAAAAATTCTTGTTTTCTAATATATGTATTTAAAGCTAGGAAAATTTTCCTAAACACTGTTTTAGCTCCACCTACCAACTTCCTGGTCATTAAATTAAAAATACACATTTTTTTTCTTTTTTAGAGACAGGGTTTCACCACATTGGCCAGGCTGGTCTCGAACTCCTGACCTTAGGCAATCCACTCATCTCATCCTCTCAAAGTGTTGGGATTACAGGCGTGAGCCACCGCACCCACAAAAAAAAATAACATTTTAAAATTTTTATTTATTTATTTATTTTTTAAAGAGACAAGGTCTAGCTCTGCTACCTTTCCTGGAGTGCAGCAGCAGAATCACAGCTCACTGCAGGCTTGAATTCCTGGGCTCAACCAATTCTCCACCTCAGCCTTCTGAGTGCTAGGACTACAGACATGTACAACCATGCCCAGCTAATCACAAATTTTTTTCTGTAGAGACAAGGACTCTCTCTGTTTCCCAGGCTGGTCTTGAACTCCTGGCTTCAAGTGATCCTCCCACCTTGGCCTCCCAACGTGCTGGGATTACAGGTGTATGCTATCGCACCTGGCCCAGATTAAAAATATTCTCCAATTTCCTTTGTAAATTCTTCTCTATTAGTGATTAACAAGTTTACTTGATTTGGGGATTTTTCAAGTTACCTTTATTAATTCCAAGTTTAATTATTTTGTGGTTTAAGAAGGTATCATGTATGATTTTAATCCTTTTGGAATTTAGTGTGACCTATTTTATGGCACAGTATTTGGTCTATATTGTTAAGCAGTCCATGTCTACTTAAAACAATATTCTGCAATTGTTGGGTATACTGTTTTATAAAAGTTACACATTTAGGACTGTTGTATCTTCCTGATGAATTGATCCTCACGTTTATGAAGAACGCCCCTTTATCTCTGTTAGTACCCCTGATCTTTAAGCTGCTTTGTCTGACATTAATGTATGTCACACAGTTTTCCTGTTATTGGTGTTTTTGTGGTATACCTTTTTCCATTCTTTTACTTTCAGTGCATCTCTTGCAAACATAATATAGTTGAGCCATTTTAAAAAATTAATTCAGTCTGATACTCTCTACCTTTTAATTGGAATGTTTCATTCCTTCACATTTTACCAAAGTAGATGCTTAATAATCTTTTTTTTTTTGAGACACGGTCTCGCTGTCACCCAGGATGGAGTGCAGTGACGTGATCTTGACTCCCTGCAACCTCTACCTTCTGGGTTGCAGCGATTCTCCTGCCTCAGCCTCCCAAGTAGCTGGGATTACAGATGTATGCCACCACGTCTGGCTCATTTTTTTGTATTTTAGTAGAGACAGGGTTTCACCATGATGGCCAGGCTGATATTGAACTTCTGACCTCACTGACCTCAAATGATTCACCCCGCTCAACTTCCCAAAGTGCTGGGATTATAGGCGTGAGCCACTGTGCCTGGCCTGATCTGTAACAATCCTTAGTCTAACATCCATAATGCCTGAAACAGCCTCCTGGCTTTATGCTACCCATGAAGTTCATAAGCATGCTTTCAAGGCTTCATCACTCAGTAATTAAAAATTAGCATGGAGAACCATGCTCCAATATGGTTTGGCTATTTAACCAACTAAAATGTACCCATTGATGGTCTATTCAGCCAATATTCCTCCATCTGGCATATAAGATTATGAAACTTAAACAGCATGCCATGCCATGTTAGTAAACCTGTCTCGATTATTTGAGAACAACCAGCTGACCTTATCAACTATAGTAAATATAACAGAAAAAATATCTAATTGCTTCATATTTGTTCATTTTAATCCTTGCTACAGAATTATGTTAGATAGTTGGTCAATCTGTGCCTTTCATTGTTTCTACAAATTCTTTTTTCTAACAGCAGCAGTAAGCTCTTATTTTCTACTGTTCAATGGTAACATAGGTAAATACTGTTTTGATGCTTCATTTATTGTGAGATGTTTAATTTTTCCTAAATGTTCAGAAATTAAGGCCAGTAATGATCTAATCTCTTGCACATAAGAACTACTTTTACATCAGCTTTAAAAAAAAGTGCTTTAATTCTACCTGGTATATTATTCTTTTCAATGTATGACAGTATATATTCTTCACAGACTTGCCAAAAGAGTATGCATATAATTAAACTTTGAGTTTTTGCCAAACTGATAGCAAGAAATGGTGCCTTAGTGTAGATTTGTACATTTTTCACTATAAGCAAGATGATTTTTTCTTTTTCTTTTTGAGACACAGCCTGGCTCTGTTTCCCAAGCTGGAGTGCAATGGTGTGATCTTGGTTCACTGCAACATCCACCTCTCAGGCTCAAGCAATCATCCTCTCACCTCAGCCTCTGGAGCAGCTGGGATTACAGGAGTTTGCCACCACGCTTGCCTTTTTTTTTTTTTTTTTTTTGGTAGAGACAGGGTTTAGTCAGGCTGGTCTCCAACTCCTGAGCTCAAGCAATGCTACCCCACAGCCTCCCAAAGTGCTGGAGTCTTTGCATTCTAGCCTGGGCAACAGAGCGCGAAGTATTTTACTCATTTGCCCCATCCTATAATACATACAAAACAGTTTAAGAATTAACAACACCTGGCTGGGCGCAGTGGCTCATGCCTGTAATCCCAAAAGGAGGCCAAGGCGGGTGGATCACTTGAGCTCACAAGACCAGCCTGGGCAACAAGGGGAAACCCTGTCTCTACAAAAAACACAAAAATCTAGTTGGAAGTGGTGGTGCATGCCAGCTACTCAGAAGGCTGAGGTGGAAGGATGGTTTGAGCCTTGGAGATAGAACCAGATCTTATCTCAGAGTAGGGGAGAGGGAACAACAACAACAAAAAACAAACCACAACACCAATAATACAAATTGAAGTCAAGTTTTGTTTTGTTCTGAGATGGAGTTTCACTCTTGTTGCCCAGGCTAGAGTGCAATGGTGCGATCTTGGCTCACTGCAACCTCAGCTCACTACAACCTCTGCCTCCCAGGTTCAAGTGGTTTTCCTGCTTCAGCCTCCAAGTAGCTGGTATTACAGGCATGCACCACCACACCCAGCTAACTTTGCATTTTTTGTAGAGATGGGGTTTCTCCATGTTAGGCTGGTCTCAAACTCCTGACCTCAGATGATCCGCCCACCTCGGCCTCCCAAAGTGCTGGGATTACATGTGTGATGCCTGGCCAAGTGTTCTTAAGAGTTAATAGTTCTACTTGTTGTTAATATATCCTACTAAGAACGTAAAAGTTATCTGAATTATTTTTTCCCCTATATGGTTATATTATCAATTTGATATGCAATAGCATCTGTGCTTTTTGTTTGTATTTGTTCAGTATTAATTTGCCTTTTTTGGTCATTCATTATTATTTTGTGAATAAGTAAAACATTTAAATACTTAAGTCACATCTGTATAAAAAGTATATTAAGAGGAAAAAATGTAATAATTTTAACAAAACTTGTTAGCATATTAATGAGTTTCAAGATACACCTGAAACTAAATTTGTGGTGCAGTCAGAGTTACCTGATAATGATTTCAATGAAATTTTAAAAGATTAGGGACAAAAATTTAAGATTTAAAACTGTTCTTTACCATGGAATAAAGTGTACTGAAATGCTAAAATGTACAGCTATAAAAAAACAACACTGAGCTAATCTGATTATATCCAGATTTTGCACTCAATAGCCCTTGACCCTCTCCAGCCATAAGTAAGACTGTCATTTGCCCAGCCCTGCTGTGCATTCTTGTTATAGCTGTTTCAAAACCAGTGTTAGAGAAACAAAACCAAGCCCTCAATCATGCTATGTGTATCTTTATGTGTGCATGTCTTTTGTATGTTTAAAATGTTTTAGGCTGGGCACGGTAGCTCACGCCTGTAATCTCAGCATTTTGGAAGGCTGAGGTAGGTGGATCACTTGAGGTCAGGAGTTCGAGACCAGCTTGGCCAACATGGTGAAATGCCATCTCTACTAAAAATACAAAAAAATTAGCTGGGTGTGGTGGCGCACACCTGTAATCCTAGCTACTCAGGAGGCTGAGGCAGGAGAATTGCTTGAACCCAGGAGGTGGAGGTTACAGTGAGTGGAGATCAGGCCACTGACTCCAGGCTGGGTGATATAGCAAGACTGTGTCTCAAAAAATAAAAATAAAATAAAACAAAAGATAGAGTGAGACTCTGACTCAAAAAAAGAAAAAGAAATCCAATTATCAATAAGATTTGGTAGATGTTAGATATAACTATGTGTAAAAAAAATGTTACTACTATAAAAGTTGACTTTCAAAAACCTAGTAATATCATAATAATATTAAATAAAGGCTTTAAAATGTCATCAATATGTGTTCTGAACACTGTAAAACAAAGTTACAAAAGGAACATCAAACATTTCTAAAAGTTTGTGTTGAGTTTCTATACCTTTGTGGCAAAGAAAGGAAGAATAAAAAAACAAAAAAATAAGTAAAAGAAAAAGAAAACATACCAACACCAACAGCACCAAACTGCTGCCCAACTAAGGAACTTGGACTGAACTGACTGTATGTGGGCATCCTGCCGAAAGGCCCATAAGAACCCATGGACTGGAATGAAGAAGTCGATGAGCCTAGTGAGGACTGAAGGAAAATCATGGGTTATATTTCCAAGCTCTACGCAACATGTATATAATGAAAAAAATTTCCAGATTTTTATTTTTAAGAAAACTAATAAATTATAACTACTAGATATAAAATGAATTACAATATGCATTTAAAACAGCCAAAGAACTTTCTGATTTCAATATCTGTCTATAATGTGACAATTATACTCAATGTGACTTACAAATACTTTTTTCTACAATAAACTCCCCATTTGAGCTAAGAGTTTTATAGAGAGAGAAAAGAAATAGTTACTTTTCTTAAAGTAAAGTAACTTTGCCTGAAGAAAAATATGAGAAAAGTAACTTTTAGTAATACTGAGTTTTAGTCTGATGCTGATATAAATCTCACTTGTGATTTTACTTATTTTCAATCATTTGAGGCCTACTATTAAATTCACAGGAAAGAGATGTAGAAACAAACATATCCCACGTAAAACCATTTACATTTTTACTTATACTTACATTAAGCTGAGGAACATTTTATTAAAACTTTAACTTAAACCTAAAGCATATATATTTTAAAATATATGTTAATACATATATACTTCATATATTATCTCATTTAAACTGTTTCATAATATAAACATGAAGTGTGTTAAAGGCTACCAGGACAAACACTCACTGATGGCAGGACCTTTTCTGTGTGTTCACTACTAGTGTTAAGCACATACCAGATATTCCGTAAATACTACTGAATGAATGAATAAGAAGATCAAATAGAAGTTTACGATGATTGGAAGAAGTTATTCAACACCATTTTGATTTGCTCTCTCTTAGTTTTTTTCATTCCATAAAACTGATTACTCAAATAACTGGTTCCCTGGAGAATTATCAAAGGCCATATATAAGAGACAGTAAGGTACCACCAATGTTTGGTGTAGGTGGCTATCTCTAAATGTGTCTCTTCCTTCTCCATTTAAAGAGATTCACATTTTTTCAGATTC